AATGGTTCAGAGGCAGGGCTTTCCTTCCCTGCAGGATCAGCAACGTTACCACGAGGACATTTTTGGGCTTACTCTGCGCACCCAGGAGGTGACAAGCCGCATTCGCACCCAGAGCTTTTCTTTGCAGGAGCGACAGCTGCGGGGCACAGTGCCTTGGGCATTCGACCCTCCTGGCACAGACACCCCTAGCCCTTGAGAGCCATTTTGCTTTCTACTGTAATTCCCAGGAGAGTTCAGCCATTGGTCCATCCTCTTTCCCTCCTTCCCTGAATTGTTTGCCCACATCTGTCCAGAGTCTAGAGAATCAACCTTATTCCTGGGAATAAGCAAAATGTCTGTATCTTTAGGTCTGTTTCCCTACCAGGGGTTGGACTAAACCTGGAAGGCCCCTCCCAGCAATAATATTTCAGGATCTATTACCTCTTACTCTCCTTACCTTACCTGTAAAGCCTCATCTTTACATCATTTAAATATTTATTATTTAAAGATTGACCATAAGAGATTATGCCAGGTGTAAGCGCACCCTTACTATCCACGATTACTATCTATTGAAGACTTAGCAGTCAAATAAAATTACTGAATGGAAAGCTTCGTCTTAATTTGAAACACTCTCATGAAGATGTGGGGTGGCAGTTTCTTGACAGGCTTCAACCCCTATTTTCTAGGGCATGAATTTGCCCACTCTATGTTGCCCCAATTCGCTACAGAACACAGCTCCCTTGCTCTCACTTGAGGATAAAGAAAATAGGTACAATCCTTGTCTGCCTGAAGTGAGAGAGCCAGAATAGTCACACGGATGTGCACACAACTGGAAGCAACCTTTACTGTTGATTTCATACAGGATTAAGTACTCCACCCACTCTTACATCACTGCTGGAGTGCAAAACATCAGCCCTCTTGCGTCATTCACTCATAGTCTCCACCCTCACCTCCCTCTCACAAGTCCTTGGGGACCTGAAGGGGAAGCACAAGGCCTTGCTTTGTTGTTTCTCTGAAATTGGTTTGGCCTTCACCTTGACCTCAGCCTGCCCTCCCCTTTGAGAATACTTTAACTTGTAGGGGAGGGGTCTCCACCCTTCACTTCCCTCCCCCTAGTATGGGGATTATCTCTAAAACTTGTTTGCAAATGCCCTTGACATCTCCTCTCCTACTCTTCATGGTTCTCTGAAGCGAGGTCCTCTTCGACCCACAGGTCCTGCATCCCTGGGGTCTGTAGTCTGGTGGGAGAGGATAGTTCTGAAAAGGGACTAGTGTGTCCTTTCAATCCACTCCAATTTCCTGTGGCTACAGAAGTTAGGAGCCTGCGAAAGGAGAAAGCTCTTGACAAGCAGTCTGGTGGGTCTGGATTCCACAGAATGTGATCCTCATCACCCCAAATTCCTCCTACCATTCTCATCCCTCTGAGCCTGGCTCCTCCCCATTTCCCACTCATTTCTTTCTCCCTCCTCAATTATTTCATTCTCACCGTCTCCAGCCCAAATCAGACCATACTGACCCTGAGGTAGTTTCTCAGTCAGTAGCAGGGGCCTGCCCAGACTCCTGCTGGGTCTCTGTGGTCTCCTGAAACCCTGCGGGGAACAGGTTCTGTGCCCTCTGTGTTCTCCACTGCTGTCTGGGGCTAGAGGCAGGGCTGGAGCCTGGTAGAAAAGCCATCAGTTGTGCATTACCCCTGATGCCCAGGGCCCACTTAGCATCTGCTCCCGACACCCCTAAGCACCTCACCATCACTTGACCAGGATGGTTTCTCCTCATCAGGCGAGAGTGGATGTGAAGGACTAGACCAAGGTCTTGACAATGAAGAGGCTGAAGCCTCTCCCCACAGTTCCTGCTGCTGCTGCTGCTGATGTAGCTAAATGGCAGGAAAGAGGAATGAGCCTTGAGGACTCCCAGACTCCCTGGATAGGTGCAGAAGGTTTTAACCTTCTTCTGCTAGCTCCTGTCAGACGCTATTCTCCCCTCCCCAGTCTATGTAGTTCACCTGCTTCCTCCTCCAACTTCTTTTTCTGTACCCTTCGACTCACCTGGTGCAGGTAGATGGCATGAAGACTCATCTCAGTAGAAGCAAGCTCTGGGAACTGGGCCAGTTTCTGGCCTCCATTGCTTCCTGGAGACACACAGCTGGAGCAGAGGGTACAGCAGAAGGTCAAAAAGACAACACCTGACACACTACTGAACCTCATGGGGAGTGCCAAATTTGACCTCCCCTTCCCAATGCCCCCACTGTGTTCTACCTCTTCCTACCGGAGGACCAGCCCCACTACTTGCACTGTCTTGCATCTCTGGTCACCACCTGTTACCTTGGATCCTGAGCAATCCTGGATATGGATGCCAGGAGGCTGGCTGTGGCTGCAGCAGGGCTGGGGGATGTGGGGCTCAGATCTCTTGGAGGAACGAGAGGGTGCACCAGGAGATTGGCCAGGTAGGCCTCTGGCTGGGAGCAAAAGAAGAGCAGAATAGGGAGTCAGAAGAGAGGACAGAAAGGGAGATCTAAAGCCAGGGAGAGCTCTGGGAGCTTAGTGTTAAGCAGTGGTGTTTCCAACCCAAAGGTACATTATTTGAATCCACCAGTTGCTCTGTGGGGAAAAGATGGGCAGCCTCCTGTGTGACTAACTACCTCAGATAACCTGCTGGAAAGTCAACTATGGGTCAGCACATCACCACAACAAAGAAAGCAGGAGAGAGAAGATGGGCCAGTGTACAAAACTACAAAATGTGAGGCAAAAGGGAATACTGAGGGAGAGGGCCGCCTGGGACTCACCAGAGGCAAGCTGGAGTCACTAAGCAGCCCAGGGGTCGGGGGGCTTCGGACGGAGGTAGCGCCCCAAGTGGCTGCATCTTGTTGAACTCGGTCCCAAAGATGCCCGAGGAACTTAGAGCTATGCCCTGGGGGGCGCCATTGTGGATGAGCCAGGGAGAATCTCATTAAGGAGAGCTCGGTCTTTCCATCCTCTGCACGCTGAGCCAGGGAGGCTTCTGTCTGATCTGCTGAAAGCCACTGAGAACAAGAACAACACTTTATTGCTATAGCGGGAACCTCAAGGGACAGGCTGGGGCAGGGGACCAACATTACTCAAGAAACTGAGGTTAAGAGGGAACTAACTCAAGTTCATCCAAAAGTACAGCAGCATGGCAGGCCTGGGTCGGCTCCCAGCACAAGAATACAGGCCAGGCTCCAAGGACGCACACCCAGGCGCCCAAGGCTGACCCTAGCGGCCTTGGTAGGATAGCCTCTTTACTCCAGTCCACCCACTCACCAGCCATTTCTCTGCCACTGGTGGTTATAAACTCCGTTCCAGGAACCCTAAAGAATGCCCTACTTACATCATTTCATTTAATCCAACAGCCCGAGGTATTAACTTGTACCAGTAACTTCACTTTACAGATGAGAAGGAGGAGGGAGAAAAGGTTCGGGCAAGTGGAGGAACTTGCTCAAGGTCATACATAGATGGCAAGTGAGGATAACGGAACCTGAAAGAAACACTGTATCTCGAAAGAGAGCTCTAACCTGAGGGTGGCCATGGCGCTTCACGTCCATAAGAGCAAAGGAGCAGATGTCCCCAACCCCGGCCACATCCACAGTGAAGTGATGGAAAAAGTCAATAATCTCCAGAGCACGAGGGCGAAGCCAGAAGAAAAGAAACAGCGGGGTGAGAAGAGGGGAAAGGAGCTCCTCTAACAGGGAGACCTGGTGAAGGAGAGAAGGGAAAAGGCAAAAAAGGGAGGTGCTGACGAGCGCACACCGGCAAGCGCCCCAGTCACATCCTTTAGACCCCGGGCAGCCTTGTGCCCAGGGGAAGCCCCTGTTGAGCCCTCTCTGCCGCTTCTCACCGCCCGGTACTGAAGCAGCTGCGCCATCTGCCGGTAAGCGCTAGTTTTGCCGGCGGGGCCGGGCTCCTCTGGGAGGTAATGCATGTGCGCCAAGGCGGCCTGGAGGAGCTGGGGCGCGGAGCGACCCTGGAATTTCTCATCCGGAAGGAAAGACCTGGGGGCAGGTGAAGAGGTCACGGTTAGGAGGACATGCATAGGGAAACGTGGGTTTGGGAGAAACTGGACTCCTCGGCATCCGTCCCCTTCACACCTAGCCACGGTCGCCGTGACACCGAGCGCGGTCATGGCGGTAAGCACGTGCTGCACCGCGAGCACGTCCTCGTCGTAGATGGTGAACACAAGCAGCGCGGCCAAGAGCGCGCCCGCGTAGAAGACGACCTGGCGCGCCAGCAGGGCGAGCAGGGGCGCGGGCGGCGCGGCGGCGCGCAGGAAGGAGGTGGCAGGGCGGTAGGCGCGCGCCAAGCGCGCCCGCAGTTCGTGCGGCAACTCGTTAAAGTGGCGCAGCTGCAGGCGCGCCAGGCGGGACCAGCCGCGGACCCCCAGCGCGCCCGGCTCGCGCCGCAGCAGTTCCGTATGGCTGTAAAAGGCGTGCAGCACCTGCCAGGCCAGCACCAGGGGGCTCAGTGCCAGGTTGGCGGCTGCTAGCAGAAACGCGGTGCGGCCCAGGCGCGCGGCCAGGGCGCCCCGCTGTTCGCTACGCTTGTAGGCGTCGGGCAGCTCCCAGCCGCCGCGGAAGAGGGAGAAGGGGCCGCGGAAGAGGAGCAGGTCGATGTTGAGGGCCAGGCCGCGGCTAAGAAAGGCCACGCTCCTTCCGCAGGGCAGTGGGCAGCAGGCGGGCAGCAAGCCCTTGTTGGCCAGGGCCACCAGGTAGTTGGTGTAGCGCAGGATGCGGTGGTGGACATCCAGCTCCGTCAGCGGCCGAGGCTGCACGCACAGTCCACCACTCCTCTGCAGTGCTAGCAGGCGGGATTGCACCTCCGCCCAAGGCATGGAGCTCAGTTCCTCCTAAGGAGGGGCAAGTAGTGAGCCCCAGAGATGCCCAAGTTCAACATTCCGCAAAGGGCCACAAACAGCATCATGACCAAAGACACACTCTGCATCTCCTCCACCCCTTGCTTTCTACAGTCTGTTTCATTCATGACTGAAACCTGCCACCTTTTTCTCTTCTCTTAATTTCCTCCCTCAATCCTGTGACAAGGCGCTTGCTACTTCCTTTTATCTTTTTTTTAATTGTAGCCACTCACAGGGTCATTACTCATGGGATTATTGCTAACACCTCACTGTAACACTTCATGTGTATCACCTAGCTTTTCAATTGCATTGTGAGATCCTTGACAACAAGTTTTTATCACCTCTCTCAGTCAACATATAGAAGATATAGAATGGTTGGCAACTAATGGGAACATGTCTCTTACACATTTTTCATATACATGCCATGTCTTGTCCGGAATTCATCACCACTGTTTGCCTCAACCAGCTTGCTGTCCTATTGAAAACCCTTTTGCATTCCATCACCAAATTAACCTTCACGAGGCTATGAAAGGTCATTAGATGATGCAAGCCTCACATTAGCCTCATTTCAGCCATCTTCCCCTTCCAGGTTAGACAAATCCTTCTGCAGTGCATTCTAGTGTATGCCTGTCCCCTGGAAGGAAGGGCAGGGGATAAAGAGAAGGATCTAGTCTCACCTCCTCTCCACTTCTACCTGTTTTGGGATCCTTGACTCAAGAAAGTCTCTAGAACCCCTGCCTTTTGCTACACAGAAAGCTGAACAGAAGATTCTAGGCTTCTAAGGGAGAACAAGGGAAGCTTGCTGCAGAAGGCAGCCTTTAAACTACACTTTAAATACAAGATAGGGAGCTCTGGTGGCCTAGTGGCAAGAAGTTGCGCTGCAATCCCACAACAAGGGAAAAAAACAGACAAATATGTAGGGAAATTATCCAGATAAGGGGGAAAGGCAAAACATCGTCAGAGGACAATGAAGAGGCCAACACCATGGCTTACTGTAATAGGAGGTAAGACTAGAAGGGTCATTTTATAAAGATTCTTGGATGCCAGACTCAGGGTTTGAACTTGACCCCAGGGTCTCCAAGTGGAGAGTTAAGAGGCCCTGGGTCAGAGGGCTGAGCAGAGTGCTGGCAGATGTTCTGTGCAGGGTGTATACTTCCAGAAAGAATGTTCAGCTGTAGGCTAATGCATTTATAGCCTCTTTGCTGCCCACTGGTGCTCACTAATTTTCCCTGCCTTCCTGTAGCAGGGCTTAGAATACTCTCCTTGATCTTCTCCTTTATGCCAAACTAGAAAACCAGCTGATCTCCTTTCCACTAAACATTGTTTTTACCAAAAACATGTAACTATAAATAAACTTATATGACCTATCTAAAAAAAAATTAAGGGAGCTCTGGTGTCGCGAAAGAGAGGAAGACCCTCAACCAGATGAATTGACAAAATGATTATAGCAATGGACTCAAATATGTCAGAGCTTATGAGGATGACACAAGATAGGACAGGTTTCAGATCTGTTGTTCAGAGGGTAGCTATGAATTGTACTCGAGTCAACAGCACCTAACAACAAAAACTGGCCAAGTGGTATGAAGCTGTGCTGCAATCCCAAAGTCACGTGGTTTGAATCCACCAGTTTATCTGCAAATGACAATTTCCTCCTGTGCAATGTATTACCTCTGAAAACCCAATAGAAGGTGAGCTATAAGTCTGTTCCAACTTGACAGCACAAAACAACAACAAAGAAGTTAAGCTTCACTAGAGTTATTATTAGGTGCTATCAAGCAACTCATAGCAATCCTATGAATAACTGATCTGAACCTGAACACTATTCTGCATCAGCATCCTGATCTCTCTGATATGTCTGAGCCCATTGTTAAGTCACTGTATCACAGTGACTGTAAGGGTCTTATTGGGGGTCTTCATCTTTCTCTAACCTTTCACCTTCCAAGCATGATGTCCTTTTCTCAAGGACTGGCCTCCTGACAACATGCCCAAAGTATGTGAGACAAAGTTTCACCATCCTGGCCTCTGGAGTAAGAACTACGTTTTATAAGTGGTGCTACTAGCATGCATCTGGACCTTGAGTAGGTGTCAACAAAGCTCTTCCCTTTCCACTAACTCTCCAATTGGCCTGTCTGTCCAGCTCCTTCCCCTAACCTCTGCCACCATGTCATGGCAGCATGACACACAGACACGCCCACCTAGCTCACCGGGCAGATGTGCAAGGCTTCCTTGTAAAACACCTGGATGTCCCAGAAGCTGAAAAGGTTGTAGACTGAGCGAAGCAGCTGGAACAGCCAGAAGCCTGCAGCCAGGACCAAAAGAAAGACCAGCAGGGAACTGGAGTGGATCCTGTATGGGGAAAAGTGGTAGGGATCTGGTGTGACAGACAGCAGAAGGGAAAAGTGGGAGTCTGGAGCGGAGGCAGCAGGTTTAGGGAATAATGGGAAATGAGCCATAGACCTAGACCGGAGCTTCTCAAATATGTGGTCCAGGGATCCCTGGATCTCTGTGAGACCCTCTGGAGTCTGAAAAGGCAAAATTGTATTCATATTACACTAAGATATTCTATGCATTTTTCATTATCAGTCTCCAGTTTTCCAGAAGCTTCATGACTTTGAAGATACCACACTAGCAGGCAATGAAATGTATGCTTATGCATTTTTAAGTTTTAAAGTGTTCCTTGGCTTTAGTATTTAGTCGAGTAAATATCAGGAGCCTTGATGACGAAATGGTTAAGTGGTTGACTACTGACCAAAAGGGAACTCTGATGGGCTAGTAAGTCACTGTGCTGCCAACCCAAAGGTATATGGTTCGAATCCACCAGTTGCTTCACAGAAGAAAGATGGACAATCTCCTCCTGTGTGATGTACAACCTCTGAAAACCCACTAGAGGGTCACCTATGAGTCAGTTTCAACTCAGCAACAACAAACCAAAAGGTCAGCAGTTCAAACCTATGAGCAGCTCTGAGAAAGAAGACTTGATGATCTGCTACCACACAGATGACACTCTAATAATATGTAAATTATAATCCCACGCAGGGGAACCCCCACAGGTTGTAGGTTTCCCACATTGGAGAAACCTCATGTGGCAGTTCTATTGTCATATAGGGTCACTGTGAGCCAAAATTGCCTTGATACCACACAACAACAAACCCAGGGGAAATAGAAATAGATATTACCCTCATAAACAAAAGCTCAGCAGAGTTCTCAATCAATTTTAAGTCTAAAAGAGTCCTGAGATGAAAAAGATTGAGTATCCTCTGATCTGGACCAGGGAACAAAGGGGGGGATCTTGTTTGTCCTCCTCCCCAAGGCTGTCACTCACCTCTCAGCACACTGCTTGGAGGACAGGATGGCATCTGACAGAGTCACTTTGCTATGCTGCAGCCCCGATCTGGTCTGGTTATTTGGTTGGTTGGCAAAGAGAACGTTGTAGTCCACGCATCGAAGAAGGAAGGTTGTAAAGGTGACAATGAAAATGAATTGTCTAGGGGATGCAGGGAGGAGGCAGTGATGAGGACTGAAGGCCAGGCAAGTTTCTGCCTCCAGTCCTAAACAAGTCTATGATTTGCTCCCCACTGGCCTACCTCCTAGGCCACTTGGAAAATCAGGCAGGATAGAAGCACATTCTAGCAAGGAAGCAAGATAATAGAAAGCCCCTGGGGCACAGAAAGCTGAGTTCAGATTTTTGGATAAGCATCTCACCCCAGCTGGAAGACATCCTCCAGCAGGATACAGGCAAAGCCATTCCGCTGATGATAGCTGTAGATGTGTCAGGTTCATTAAGGAATAAAACCAGAGGCAAAATGGGCCTTTCCTGAGGGCACCACCCCCTCACTGCCCCAGCAAATCTGAACCCACACTTATCCCCTGAATCGCCCTGCCAACAGTGAAGTCAGCCCCAAACAAGCTTCTGCCAGTCTTGGGCCCAAAGGATATCTTGGTGAAGAAGCTGTCCAGATTTTGGATGTGATGCCAAGAGCCTGGGCACAGAGAGGAGAGCACTGACATGAGGCACCCTCACCCCAGTGAGCAGTGTTCTTCTCCCCTCCACTGGTTGCCTGAGCAGAGGTATATTCCCATTCACTCACCCCGGAGTCCTTCAGGCACATGGAGCAGGGGTTGCTGCTCCTCCCCATGGAGAGGTGAATCTTGGGACCCATCAGGGTCACAGTCCTCCAACCTTTCATAATCCTGCTCAGGGATCAGAGGGCCTATCCGAAGCCCAGGAGGATCCTGGGGGCATCGGCGTGAAGGATTGGGAGTCACCGAGGCCAGGGGTGGAAGAGAGTGGGATCCCCAGGAGGGGGAAGAAGAGGCAGGCAACGTAGCTGGCTGTGCCCGCTTCGGGGTGGAGAAGGCACTGTGGCAAGGCTGAGCAACCCCTGACCCCTGTGGTGCTGGGCAGGGGGCACTCAAGGCCAGTGGGAGAGATGAAGAGGGGGAGCTTCTTGTATGAGGGGCAGGGGACAGAGAGAAGATGGAAATCCTCCCTCCTCCAGATCCCCAACATACAGAAGGAGGAGGTGGTGGCGGTGTGGGAAGGAGAGGCACTGATCTGGGCCCCAGGTCTCCCCACCGTCCCAACCGCCCCCTGGTCCCCCCCCACCCCGTTCCGCTCACCATTAAGCTGGTAACTTCCCTCGAAAGATTGAAAGGATGGGAGCTGTTCCTGTCTCCACAGAGGTCTGGGCACTTCAGACAGCAGGGAAGGTAATGACAACAACAACACTAGATGACTCAGTGAGGGCAGGCCCTAGGAGTCCACTCACACACCTTCCTGGGTCACCTGCTACCAAGCCAGCCCTTCCCAACTAGGTAGGTCTGCCTCTTTAAAGGGTGCCTGGATGGGACAACTTTTTAAGAGACTAGGATTTGCACTTTGAGACAGTCTGTGCCTTCACCTTCAGACCCTGAGAGAATAATATAGGAGAGATAAGGGAGCAAAGACTAAATAACAAAGGAGGAAAGAAAAAAAAATCCTATAAAAAAATTATAGAACAGGATCAAAATTAAAAAAAAAAATCTTCCTCCTCCCTACTATGCAGACAAGTTGAGGGGAATAGAGCTAGTGAAGAAAAGGATAGGAACTATCTTGGATTTGAGCAGTGGTTATTGACCTTGAAGAGGAGGTTTCAATGCATTTTCTGCCTTTCTTATTGAACCCTGATGATCCCTTCTTCAGCCCTGACCAGTTTCTGGGGGTCCCTGAGAAGGATAATTTGGTTACCCAGGGATGAACTGAGCTGAGTTCCTTGTTGCCTTTTCAACAAAGGGGAGGTAGCTCGGCCAGCTGGTCTGGTGGCTTGCCCAACGCCATTCTTGAGGCCCTGAATCATCAAGCTTCCTATTGAAGCCCATTCCTGAGGTGCTGACTCAGTCACCCAGGTTCCAGAGCCTCTAGGGCTTAAGCCCAAGGCCTGACCATGCATGGGTACTTCCGGGGTTGGCCGGAGTGGAGAAGATGGAGTTGCCTGCTCATAAAACCCAGGGTGGAACTACTTTTCGCTTTCTGTGCCTCCTTCCCAGCACCTCAAGATTTGATAGGTTTGGTACTGAGCTTAGTAGAGCTACTAGAATTTTAAATCTTTGCTGTAGATAAAAAATGACAGCCTTTAGTGTGGATTGTGTCTCAATATCAAAAAGACAAAAATCCTCACCACTGGACCAATCAGCAACATCATGATAGATGGAGAAAGAATTGAAATTGTCCACAATTTCATCTTACTTTCATCCACAATCAACACTCTTGGTACCAACAGTCAGGAGATCAGGAGATGTACTGCATTGGGAGCTCTGATGACATAGATGTAAAAGGCTTCACTTCAATCCCAGTCAGCACACAGTTTTAATTCACACACGCTTCTCAGCAGAAGGATGGACAATCTCCTCTTGTGCTATTTTCTGCCTCTCAAAACCTACTGGAGGTCAACTATGGGTGGGTTCCAGCTCAACAGCATAGAACAGCAACATCGTATTGGGAAAGTCTGCTCTCAGGGAGCTCTCCAAATTACTGAGAAGCAATATCAGTTTGAAGGTTTACCTGATTCAGGCCATGGTCTTTTCAATCACTTGCTTTTGCATCTGAGAGCTGGATAATGAATAAGGATGACAGAAGAAGAATCAATGTTTGAGTTGTGGTTGCTTGAGAAGAGTACTGAATACCCATGAACTTCACAGATATGGCTTAGGAAAAATGCAGCCAGACTGCTCATTGGTGACTAGGCTGGTGAAGTTTCATCTCACATATTTTGGCCATGTTTCTAGGAAAGGCTATTCCTTAGAAAGGGGCATCATGCATGGAAAGGTGGAGGGGTCAGTAAGAGAGGAAGACCTTCAACCTGATGGATTGACAGAGTGGCTGAAGCAATGTCCTCAAATATGTAGAGATGCTGAGGATGGCACAGGATAGGACAGGGTCTGTTATTCATAGAATTGCTATGAGTAGTACTCGATGGCACCTAACAACAACAATAACAGTACTGAGCTAGAGCAGAGCAGATAAAAAGACTCACCTCTTCCAGAGTAGGAATTTTAATATTCAGAATGGAATCCCATGTTGTAGAGAGGCTAGAAATTGTTCATGATCTTCCTGAGTCACATATTTAGACATGTGGGAGTTTTCTGTGCTCTTCCAACTAACTCACTTTGCTATTCCACCATATAGATCCTTCTTCATACACCCTGAGCTCCTCCATCCAATCTCAAACCAGTCCTGTCAGTTTTCTAATCAGGTCCACCACAGATTCATAGTACAACGAATTTTTCACTGCCAGGCATTTTGGGAAAGTAAATGAATGAGTCAGAATCATTAGCCCAAAGAAAAAGTCACAGTCTGTGGAGGAAGCAGATATGCAAACGCATAATTATACAGAAAAATAAGCACGAAAATACCAAGGACTGTCAAAAGAACAAACATATCTCCGTAGAAGAAAGGATGGTGATTTAATCTAATATACTTTAGGCATGTTATCAGTTGAGACCAGTCGCTGGAAAACGGCATCATGCTTGGTGGTCAGGAAATAGATGGGCCAATATCTCTCATGAATATTGATGCAAAAATCCTAAATAAAATACTGGCAAATAGAATCCAACGATACATAAAAAAAAATAATCCACCATGACCAAGTGGGATTCATAACAGGTATGCAAGGATGGTTCAACATAAGGAAAACAATCAATGTAATTCATCACATCAA